TTGGCACTTTTGAAAGCACAATCAACTGCAGCACGTGTCAGGCTTGAGTGGCTGGAGGAGGATGGTGTCTGACTGTCGCAGCCGCTGGAGGAACCACGTGTGCCACCTTCCTTAATTGCTATTATTCTTAGTTCTGTTTTACTTAAGTGTCCCGGTAACAGTTGTAAATGCTCCAACACTATCCTTGTCCAAGAGTTGCAATTCTAATGATTTGATGACTTTAAGCTATCTACTTCATTAAGAATAAAATTGATATAACACAGATCTTACTGCATCATTCCCTCGATACAGCTTTTAGCCCATACCAGTTAGCCTGTATTTAGGCTTGGGAAAAGCTCAGAGATAACAGGGTTGAAGAGAGAATAGGTCTAAGAGCATTGCAGGGGATACTTTTTGCATTTGTTTACTCTCAAGTCAAAATGATTTTGAGTAACTCTTCTCATATTTGTTAGTGTGTTATTATCCCTATGGTATCAGCATGACGAGTTCAGCATGAATAAATCTAGAATAGCGTGTTACAGGAGGCTTTGAAATGTTTTTTTTCACCAGATACGTTCCTGCAATTCTTTCAGTTGGTCATCATACTGTCTCCGACGTTAGGAGGTTTTAAATAGCTTGCCGCCAGTTACAATTCCTTCCGTATTGCAGAAGACTTGCGTGGCTTCACATGCTGAAAGCTGAGTGCGAAGTATTTTGGGGTCTTGAAACTCCCTCTATGTGTCCATCGCATTAGCTATTCAGTTTTGGGACATTTGGAAGGAAACTGGCAGTGTTGGTTCATTTTTAAGAAAATTACAACAGTGGTGGGATCTGTGTACTATTTACAAGGGTTTTTTTCTCGCAAGCAAATATTTGTGATCCTTTCAATAAATAGCAGATGGATAATGCGGGAAGTAGTGCTCCTTCAAACTGAAGATCAGCGTTTCAAAAATGAAATATTTTTGAGATAAGATGAATAACGACTGTTTTCTCATGAGTCATTATGCGTGACTCATGGCAGGGTATTCCATTTCCCGGTGGCAAAGATAGATGCATCTTTCTTAACCGAAGCAAGTCTCCTTAATCTTTGAGAAGCTGAGCTCATTATTCACTGAGAGTAATTCTGATGCTTCTGTGTGGCGTCACAAGGTGGGCCTTTCAAAAGTTACAGCAAATACTGCAGTTGGGGGGATTGATTAGCTATGTTGACAGTATGAGACCCCAAACTGAGAGAATTCTGGCAATTGCCATTTTTACATCTGTAAAAGGGAACTTTTAGCTTCCTGTAATAGGCTGAGGAGAACTACCAGATACCTACCATACTGGCAGTCGCACTCCTTCTGCAAGAGAGTGTTAAGGATCTTGTGGCATTTCTTATGAAAGTTGGTTTTTTTGGTCCATTCTCTGGACAAAAATATCACTCAATGCCTGATGCTGTGCAGTATGCTTGCTGTCTACATAAAGGTGATTTCTCCTGTCCTCTACAAGTGTGTTTGATTTTTTTTTTTTTTTTAGATACATACATATATGGTGTTTTTACACCATTTTTCACCTTTTTACACCATTATTGGACATTAGGAAAAATTCCTTCCCTGCAAGGGCCGTCAGGCACTGGAAGGGGCTGCCCAGGGAAGGGGTTGATTCCCCATCCCTGGGGGGGGGATTTAGAAGCCAGGCAGACAAGGTGCTTAGGGCCAGGGTTTAGTGGTGGGATGGCAGGGTTAGGGGAACGGTTGGGCTTGGGAAGCTTAAAGGGCTTTTCTGACCTAAACAGTCCTATGATTCTATTCTATGATTTATTTTTTCCAGCATGCAAAGCACAGTTGTAGTAGTTTTGTACTGTGCACATGCGCCTTGGCAGGACGGTGGCTGATGGCATAAGCGTGTTTCACGTGTCTGTGTTCTTGCACAGCAGCACAGCACAAGTAAAGGAGGGTGTCTGAGCAAGACGAAGCTGTCATGCCAACGTGTTGCAGTTGCTTCTGTAGATCCCTGCTTACTGAAATGCAAAATTACACCTTTTATCCACATATACTAGTGTAAGATACTGTAATGACTGCTTTCTGTACATTTGAGGGTAATTTGTCATGCCTTTTGCATATCACTTGAAAGGGCAAATCTGGTAGTTGTTCAGTAGTGGCTTCTGCAAACTCTACAAGTAGCAATGAGGTCATGAATCATGTGAATTCTTTCATATGTTTTGAAAGAAAAGGCTACTTTAGGCAAAGCATAAATGCAACCATATGCCCGTACCTTGGAGTCTTCACTGAAAGTTGACAATAAAATTGTCGTGCGTGTGATTTGTTTTCTGAAGAAGGAACTCTGTTGCTTTTAGAGCAGTAGTAAAGCAGCAATTAACTTGCTGGCTTTTTCCAGTTAAGTGTAAAAATGTTTACTGGGTACAAGATTGGGAACTAGGTTGGTATAAGTAAGATTTTTGGTAACTCTTAAAAGACCGTGCATGCCTTTGTTTCCTTTTAGAAGAAAGAGGCAGCAGTTAAAACCAGAAGAAATCTTGTTACAGTCTGTGCAACAGGAGAAAAATGTGCAAAGTGGAAACGTTATCCTTTTGTTAACCTTAGTGCAACTCTTAAATTAGTGTGGAAGCATCTATTTAGAAGTGTTGAACAAGTATTTTGTATTAAGAAAAATCTTTACAGCATGTTTTACTCTTCCGTTGAAATAAAAAAAAGTGCGGGCTTTCCCTCATTAACTTTTCCACAGTGATCTTGATAGTTAAAGCTGAATGATCTGGCTTTTGGAAATAATGTGAAAATCTCCATTAAATGCCATCTCCCAGTTTTCTGCATCTCTACAAAGAGGGCAGTTCGCAAAAGTTGCTTCAAGGGGCTGAAAGGAATCCACCCTTTTAGCACTTGAAATCTTCAGTGCTGTGTGTGATTACAGCTGTTTGTTCTGAGGTGATTCCGCAGAAAGATTACTGAGAAATCTGTGGGTTTGCGCACCAGCAGTGATGTTGGTTGTTGTGTTCAGAGTTCTGCATGTCGGAAAAGCAGATTGTCACCTTCAGTCAGGGCATGACCAGTGCAGATAGAACAGGGCGAGAAGATCATCTCTCTCCTAAATATCTAAAAATGCAGCCGGCAACAGGACTGGATACATAAATGTGGTAGGTGGCAATCACGATATTTAAAATAGTGAGGGTGTTTCTAAAACAGTAATGGCAATGTGACCGCTAAAGAGAGCGCAGGAGGAAATTATCTTCTCTGGAAACATGGCTGATTGCTAGAGGGATTTATTGAATGAACCCTGCGTGCGTCAGAATGGGATCATTGCAAATGAAAGGACGGGGTAACTTTAAATCAGCATTTAAACAGGAGAAGGAAGCAACAGTTCTCTGTCTTGGGTGAAGCCAACCAGTTGCAGCAGGAGCATAAAATTAGGCAGACAAGAAGAATGGTAGGTAAGGGGGAAAGAAGCGAAGAGAGAAAGGAAAGTCTTAAATTGGAGGAAATGCTGTTGGCAGTACCTGCCAGGGGGTTTGGGAGTGGACGGGCTCTGCTCGCTTGCTGTTTCGGGTGGGAGCGTGCTGTGAGCCGGGGTAACTGCCGCGCTGGCGGGAAGGCTTCCTCTGTGTCAGTAAATATGACTCAGAAGAGCCCAGGGAACACCTAAGAGCCATGCTTGTGTCGCTGTTAGTCATGGTTTAGCTGAAGTACTCATATGGTTCAGCGTGATCGCGTAAACATGGTAAGTGCTTAAACTGCATGTTTCAGCGGTACAGCTGCCTGCATGCAGTCTGTTCCCGCCTCTCAACAAAACACAAGAAGCCTTTCAAAGAAGGGAAGCGGTCACTTGTTTTGCATTTTTTGGAAAATTTTTTTAAATTTTTTTTTAAGCGCTGAATGCAGCAGGGTATTGCAGCTGATGGAGCTGCACCGAATAATGCTTGTGTGTAGCGATGCCTTCTACCAGCTGACAATGTCGCCCTGATACTGTTTGGGTTGTGTGGTAGTTACAGGCCAAGGTGCCAGCTATTCACTCTGTAAATGTAAATAAAAGTATCGATACCAAAATCCCTTCAGAAACCAGCTAGCATATATTAGGTGTTCCCAGAATTGAAGTATCGCTTTAAAATTTGCAATGTATCAGTGTTTTTAAGTATTTACCTCCAGCATTTGTATGTGCCTGAATGTGTACAGGTAGAGAAAGTAGGCAGCAGTGTCTTTTATAATGACTAATGCTACTGTGAATGACTGTTCTTAATTTCCTCTTTAAAACACCATCAACTCAAACTGTTTAACTCAAATCATTTATTTAAAGGAGAACTTCAGTTACTTCTTTTTAATACAGGGGTGCAGTCATAAGTACCAGAGTTTTCTCGGGTTTTTTGTGCTATTGCTTAACTTCACAGGTGCACCAAAGGAAAAAAAAAAAAGTATGCTGCAGTGAACCTCCAACTTCTAACAAGTGCTAAAATGTGTGTCAGTCTATAGATTAAACTGTGCTGGTGTGTTACCATGTTAGAAGTGTCTTTATTCCAGAAAAAGCCAAAGTAAATGTTTCCCACTTAAAAATGCCGAGGGGCATTGGAAATGATGCAATGTAACTCTGCCATCTTGCATTTGTACCCTTTCTCCCCAAAATCTTGATCCTGAAAGCAGAAAAAGTTAACAGAAGGGAATTTCTCACAGGAAAGAGAGTGCATTTTGGAAGGGAAGACACAAAATTGTTGCCTAAGTGTTTGGGAAGTCTCTTACTGATGTTTCAGGCTGAGTGTGCACGTGCGTGTGTGCATGCTCGCTCCTGGGAGTTCCAGCCCGGCCTGCTCCCAGGCTGGATGGAGATCCAAGATCCCTGTTGGTTTGGGGGGATTACTGAATTGAGGGGGAAAGAGAACTATTTTGATGTTAAAAATGAATTTTTTGGTTACTGTTTGAAATGTAAAGTTTCTGCTGTGGGGTTATGGTCTTAGTCCTGCGCTTAAGAAATTAACTAAACTGATAACTTTAAATAATTTCTTTTTTTTTTTGATTGTAAATACTTGTTTCTTAATGCAGGCAAGAAGACAACAAGACCCTAGTCCTGGATCTAACCTAGGAAGTGGCGACGATCTCAAACTACGTTAATCAACAGCAGCAGGCGTACCATGGGTCTGCACACGTGCATTGCTTCTACTTGGCAAAGGATTTAATAAAAGACCAGAAACTGTGATAACTGGGTATACTATGGTCTGTTTCCTGACCTGCGGCAGTCAAAATCACCATGAACTGCCATGGTTTGCACTATGTTTATGTTACAATACCTGCATTTCTCATTTTAAGCATGTAGCCAGTGGCAATTTGAAATTTTGTTTTTTCTATGCAAACTTATTTTTGTTGGCACTATTTTAGTGAAATGGAAACTTATGCAGCTATAAAACCATTTTTTTTCTCAACTGTAATAAAAATTGTCACTTAAAAATAGGTCAAGATATTGCAGATTTAAAACTTCTTTTTTTGTTGTTTTTATTATTTTTTTTGTAAACTGCTGGAAGCCAATGCATTCCGAGCTTAATTTTTTTAATATGGGCTTTTGGAATTTTGATTGTCCTTACTGTGCTCCTGCTTTATTTTAGACACGCATTCTTATCTTTCCTTCAGTTTTCTTTTTTTTTTCTTCTAAATTTGCAAGACCTTCTTAAAACTGCTGACATTATTTTGCGTTATTTCCAAGCTAAACCCAGTGAATCAGAGCTGTTGGAATCAGTTCTCAAACTTTGTGGGTTTGCGAACATTACAGTTGCAGTATTCTTTTAACTGCTAGCAATTCATTGGTTCCACTTTTTAAATGATAAAATCTTACCAAAAAAAAATATATTTTCATGCATTAATGCGTTCTGCCCCAGTATCTGTCTTAGATTTTATTCTGTACCAAGTGAGTTGGGGTGGTTGTTACACCCCTGTATATAGTACTTCACTGAAACTCGTAGGAAGTCGCAGGCTGGCTTCTGTTTTATTCAGGGATTTTTTTAAATAGTTCTTAAAAAGGGATACTGCAACTCTACAGCCAGATTCAACAGCATGTTAAACTGGGAACAAAAGTGATGGGCTGCCAAGGTGATACGTATTCAATCATGTTTAAGATAGCTGCTTTAAGTATATTTTATCTCTTAGGCTTTTTGTAAAGTTGTGCTGAATGGCGAAAAGCTGAGATGAGGTTGTGCGCAGAAGATCTCGTACTGTGCATAGGACACTTCTATTAAATCTTACGCAAATCAAGACTACGTTGCAGCATATATTGCGTTTTCTAACAGGGTAAGATTGGGGATGAGTTAATCTGTGAATTATCTCGTTCGATCTGGGGTGATGGTGAATGGACTTGTTCCAGATTTTTCATTGCATCCAATATTTGAAGAAAATTGATTGGGAATGTGATGTCATTTGGCTTTGTTAAAATGTGGTGCTTCCTGTACAGCCTGATTAATTAAAATGGCACTTAAATACCTTTTTCTTTTTTTTTAAAGTAGGTGATCCAATTTCAGTATTTTATGAATCATTTTGAAGGTAGAAACTCTGTGTGCTGAGAACAGTTAAATCGCTCTTAAGTTCTGTAATTAGGATAATTACATTCCTTATTAATGGCAAAACAATTGATGCAAAAGAGGTCTTGCAAAAATGTAAGCAGATGTCAATGTGAAGGAGAATCTTTGTATGTTGATAATATGAGTATTTAACAGTCACTTAAAAATGTTGATAACTGTAAACTGTGAGAATGTCATCAAATAGAAATATTTTGATACTTCAATTTAAATATGGCTCACCTGAAAGAGAACCTTTTTCACTCTGCAGCCACGTATTCCTCTTGCTCTTCTTCCCCCAAAGAAATCATTTTTTCTAAAGTGTTTCTGCAGTGAGTTATTTAAAGGACACACGCACGCCTCCACACGCATCCCTAGCCTTGGGTCTTCTCCGCCACCTGTGTATTTTTGATGGAATAGTCTGAAGATTTATTTTAAAAGGTTTTCCTGACGTTTCAGACGGTGGTTTTAAACCATAAGTACACAGGAAATGATGCTATCAGATATTAATGTTGCTATCTTTGTGTAAATACTGAACTTTACCTATCATCATTTAGCATTCTGCTGCTTTTGATATCTTAATGCTGGCATTAAGATCACAAGCCCTTCCCCTCTGCTGGTTAGCGCAGACTTTTTAAAGTGCATTTTAAGTTATTGATGCAATTTGATATTTTTCATAATTTCTATTTAAACTGAAGTTGCATCATCTTTCTTGAATTCATCTCCTGTAAGAGTTGCCTTAAGCTACGAGATTGCTTTTGCTACTTTTTGTGTTGTACGTTTTAACTTTCATAATAAACTTCTGTGTAGTGAAAAGCGAGTTGCTGTAGATTGATTTCTGACCTCCTGGGGGTCCATGCCACCCTGTTACAGCGTGGCTGTGGGGTAAATTGCCAACCTGCTGCCGGTGCGAGCCTGCCTGGGTGTCCATGGTTAAAGCAACAGTGACATCCAGTGGTCACTTAACCAACCTGAACCCCCCCCTCTGAGTTTTGGGGACTGGCCGGCGGTGCGTACGGCTTTTCATAAACGGGCATACATTGGGGAAAACGTGGATTTTGCTGCCCTAAAACTCTTGTGGTTTTTTATAACCGCTGCGCCCTGCTTACTTGGAAAGCATTTTTCCACTTGAGCAACCCTAAGACATCATCTTTTAGCCCCATTGCGTTCCAGCAGTTGTGCACACCTGTGGAAGAGCG